GCGGACGACAAAAAAAATGCCACCACAGGGAATTGAACCAGCAACCTGCAAATTCAGTGTTCAACACAGCATGTTCAACCACTACACTACAGAAGCTCACACTATAGCACAGAATAGCAGCCATATATAGCGCTCTTTGCTGGACTCCGAGAAATTCTTCACCATCCTCACCTGTACCATAGCAGAACTTGGACATCCACCACTGATACCACTATTCTTGAGCATTATCTGGATATTGTACCTCTGTATCACTACTGAAACAAGCACATTGTAACAACTTAGAGTCTTCTATCACATGTTATTGCCCTTCTTCTAATAGACTATAAAGCTCCTTCTACAGCCTTAAAACAGACTGGTTTACAACTAGTGTATGGATGTCTATGATAGATATTATTACATAAGAAGTATACAAGATGTGTGACTGATAGAACACCAATTGCTCAAATTGAGGCCTGAGTATACTGAAGTCAACATGTAAAGTTCAAGTTGTGGCACAAGTACCCCAAGTACCCCAAGTATATAGACTTGGGTCAAGTCCGTGTACTTGGGACCAAGTACATGAACTTGGGGCCAAGTACATGGACTTAGGGCCAAATACACGGACTTGGGGCCAAGTACACGGACTTGGGGCCAAGTACACGGACTTGAGGCCAAGTACATAGACTTGAGTCCAAGTACATGAACTTGGGCCCAAGTATGGGTCCAAGTCCGTGACGTTTTCCTGATGTTTGCTTATAGGAAAAAAAGCATGCATACCGCCATGCCAGTTGTGCCCGTGCAATATGACCAGTGTAGTGAAATCGGAACTGCCCTCTGGAGATCCAGTGTTACGCTGAAGTACTAACACAAGTCTATCCAGACTTATCATGCGGACTTATCCAAGTACGCGGTGTAGCACACGGGGGAGAGAGTATCGCACAAGTCCCTAGATTGAGGGATATAGGGATACAGGAGGTAACGAAGAGGAGAACAGAAGTGGGGAGCCTCTACCGACTACAGGCCTCCTTATATACTATGGGGTACCGACCGTATTAGGAAGGGAAAGGTAACCGACCAAAGTGGGGAGGTATGAGGAGACTGTAAAGGAACGCGTCTGGTCGAGGCTGGGCCCAGTATAGTACAAGACCTAGGTCAGGGTCCTGTGATATAACCGAAAAGGGATAGAGACGGGACAGGGTCCTGAGTCTAGGTCAGGGTCGGGCAATATAACCGAAAAGGGAAAGGGGCGCGACAAGGGTCGGGGTCTGGGTCAGGGTAAAGTAATGTAACCGAAAAGGGAAAC